TACTATTTACCTCAAAGCTATACTGTTTTCATGAAAGAATTCCATCATTCCATCCTTTCATATCGTCCATCAAGATTACGAGCAATTACTCCAAGTTAATAGTTCTCCTTGCGATGAGTCTCTCACGCAACAACATCAATTACAAATATTTTTAATCTAGCACTTAATTGATTTCCTCCAATGGTATGTCACCTAATCGCTCCCTAATGATTCCTGATCCAAATAGATCAGCTGCCTGAACAACCTTCCGTGAATCACTCGATACTTTCTTTTAAAGTCAATTATTCTGTAATCATGATTTTTTTTCTCAAAACCCATTCATTGTTTGTTTGAAAATCGGTAATTGATTCATGAATAAAACAAGGGGAATGGAGTTATTCCTTTGCTATTTTTCTTGAGAAACCAAATTATTGCCTATCATACGGAGAGAGAAAATCTACAGAAAATTGTGAGAAAAAAACTTTTATTAGTAATAACCTTTAGTTATTGAACAAAGGACCGTAAAAACGTGGTGAAGATGCGATAAAATTTATTAATCTTTTTTAATTTTGAAAAAAAAAATTACTTAAACTAATCTTATAGATGGTAGAAAACCGCAAATTTTGACGTGTCATAAATCAAAATTGAACTGGAGTTATTAAAAATAAAAAATAAAAAACTAAGAGAAAATCATATCTCCGAAATAGGCTGTTGAAAAAATCTGAAAAAAATTGAGAGATAGTTTTTCTAGTGCCCCAGTCGTAGAAAAAATCGAGATCAATTTCCAAGAGGGTGAGGGTCAGCCGTTAACTCATTTGACATGGAATATTCCGCTTATATATACACTTATATATGTATTTTTTTATTACATTAAGAAATAATACGTATGAAAAAATTCAATAGAAAACCTAGCGAATTCGCTAGACAATTCTATTGGAATTCTATAGCGTTTCTATGGGGTTTCTATTGGAATTCTATTGAAAAGTTCTATTTGTTTTTTGCGCTAATTCTGTTGGATATTCGATAAGAAAAAATCGATAGATTTCGAATTTCTGTTTAAATTTTTCTATCGAGATTTTTTCTATAAGAACACTTGGGCATCAACTTTCTACATTTTTTCCACTCGGATTCTGCAATGCAAAACAAAACAAAATACAGCGGAAAAAACTTACAAAATTTGTGCTCAATAATTCTAATAGAAAAAATTTAAGAGAAAAATTCAAACAGAAATTTGAAATTTATTGATTTTGTCTTATTGAACATCCAATAGAATCAGCGCAGAAAACAAATAGAATTTTTCAGTAGAAACCCCATAGAATTTCTATAGAATTCCAATAGAATTTTCTAGTGAATTCGCTAGGTTTTCTATACAATTTTTTCATGCGTGGAATTTCGCTTTTTTTACAACTACTGTAAACAAAAAATTATAGTACATAGAAAAAATACATCGACATCACATTACATTACATGATAAGCGGAATAGAGGCTTCAAAAATCGTTACACTAGATTTTTTTAAAGTGGATTCAAGTCAAAATTCCAGAAATTTTGTACAGTAATTTTTCGTGTTTATTTTCTCCGTGCATATTACGTGATAAAATTATCTGTCTATGTGCGCCACACTTTATTTTCGACAATTCAATTACAATTGCCAATGCCACTGACGCTATTACTTAATCACTGTGATTGCATCCTCGATTCCGAATGGACGGATAGGGAAGGGGGGGAGGGGAGAGAGAGCATAAGGAGCAGAATTGAGATTGAGTTTAATTGAGGCTATTGAGATATCAGAGATCAGTGCCCGATAGTCTATCCATTGAACTTCCTCGGTGGCTGGCATTGCAGTGCAACTCAATCCCAATTCCCCTTTCATCGGGTGAATTTACGTCGATTGTGATGCCGAGTTACCCGGGAGCTGGATCTATTGCCCCTTTGGAAATTGCAGCGTCATGTAGTTTGAATCGATCATTGATGGTTGGAAATCATTGTTTAAATATTAATGACAAATGTTGTTTGGGGAGGTGGGATTGAGCTGTGCTTTTCATTGTGTCAGCTGATAGATTATCCTGTTATTCAATTTACAAATCCAGAGATTTTTCCGTCTATTGTATTCATTTCAATCCTTTCTAATCTTTAATGTTATTCGAAACTATCACAAAGAAGGAAGTCTATTGATAGCACAGAATTTTTTAAATTTTTTGTTGGAATACAGTTGATAGTCAGAATCATAATTTGAAATTGGAACTCAAGGTTTTCATGTCGACGAAGTTTTTATCCTTTCAGTAATCGAGGGAGATCGAAGTAAAATGCAACGTCTTCATCTTCAATACTATGAGATCCGCAATATGAAATTCAGCAAGTTTTTCTTCTTATATTGAAAGGAAGCTTCACAATTACAGAAGAAATCGTTCACAAAGGAGAACAATTTCTAATTTCCAGTAAACATCGAGGGGAGGCGACGAGGGGCTGGTCACTTAGGAAATCACTAGACCAGTCGACTGGAAATGAAGAAAGAAATCACCAGAAATCAATGGAAATCACTGGAAATCAAGTGATTTCCAATTTCGGTGGTCATTTCTGAAGATTTCTGGACATCATCGGAAATCAATAGAAATCATAAAGAAATCAGGTGATTTCCGAAATCATTAGAAATCATTCATAAGTATAAAATTGAAATTGATTTTGGCGTTTCAAGTCTACAATTTTTCTTGTGGTATCGGTGCGTTCGACATCATCCAATCCCAAAATGTGACGCTATAAAATTTTTGACATCCTTACGTATTGTAATGTCATGTAAAAAACTGCCATTATCGACAGATGCCCCACTCTTGTCCCGAAATCATGATTGCTCCAGTGATTTCTTGAAATCAAGAAATTATTAGAATCTACGAGAAATCATGGAAATCACAAGAAATCAAAAGAAATCATGATTTCTAATGCTGATTAAGAAATCATAAAAATCATTTGAGAAATCACAGAAATTAACAGGAAATCCTTTGATTCTGGAAATCACTGAGTCACTCGATTGAGAAGTGACCAGCCCCCTCGGGAGGCTATGCACTCAGAAAACAACTTTTTCTGTACTGCTTCTCACGATTTCTCGTCTGGGAATTGGTATTACATACTTCCCAAACTCGAAAACTTGAAAATCACTACAGAAAAATATCATTCCTGGGCTGTTGCGATGGGGTTTTTTTACTCGTGTGGTTGGCCAGTCCTCGCCTACGGCTCGGAGGCCAACGCCACACGAGTAAAAAACCCCATCGCAACAGGCCGGAAAAATACTATTACTCCACTCTAGAGTCGCGAAAAATTTACGAAATTTAAAATTTATTTATTCATGGTCTATTGTGAATGAAGTAAAACGGATGCTTAATTTTATTCTTTAGAGTGTAACGAACATTTAAAAAAAACTAAAATGTTATGAAAACTACGGCGCAAGGAGTATTTTGAAGGTAAAAACAGGACAAAATGAAGTTTTTTGTGGTTATACGGGGCAAAAACGATCGGGTCCACGATTTTCCCTAGTTATTCCTCTATTTCGTCATACACCGCAAACTGTTCACTGGGTCCTAAGGCCTAGTGAAGACTTTTAAATTTCACCGACGATCCGCTTAATATAAGAGCGATTTCCCACTTGTTTATTTTGTGCACTGTTACATAATTACTCTTGGCCCGTTAATTTAGTTTACGTAGGCTTTCTTAAAGGAAACAAAACCGAAGGCGCATAACTAAACCAGACTAGGATAGTTTACTTCTCTGGATGTTTATCAATTGTTTTTGTGTTGAATATTTTTGCCTTTCACCGGTGGGAGTCGATTTAACGCGATTACAGAGCTTTTACCGTCTCAAAAGGGTATTTAGGAGAAAACGTAACATGAGTTAGGTTTCTGTGAAAGTAATAGAGCTTCAATTTCTGATGTTCGCAATAAAGAAACATAACTTCGTGATTTTCACGACTCGGAATTCGGATTTTTCTCTCAAACTACTCTCCCTCTCTCTCTCTAACCTACATAATTACCCTCCTGTTTGGTCAAGTGACGAATTAGCCTGGAATTTCGTCACAAATTTAACGTAAAAAATCGTGAAATTTTTGACAACGAATAATTTACATGGAATTTCCATTGATTTTGTTATTGATAAATCCGTCAAAGTTCTTAAATATCCAATGAAATTTGATTTCTCAGGTTTATACGACAATGAAAATTACTGAAAATCATGAAAATTCAGACAACGTTTCTTCTGAATTTTCAATCTGTTGCTTAATTTTCGCGATCGGTTTGAAAATCCTAATTGTCATTGAAAATTCAATGATCATTCATAATAAAAAACTTGATTTTATTGAATTTATAAGATGAATCAGGAATGCCATGAGGAATTTAGTCTGAAATTGAATTTAAGTTCAATAGAATAAGAATATTTAAATTAATGTTTATTAATAATATTATTAATAGAATAAGAATATTGAAAATTCAAATGCATCTGTTACTTAAATTTTAAAAAATTTATAACAGTGTGAAACACACTGAGAAAAAAAATTATTTTTGTCAAATATTCATTCACTTCAGAGAAGCATTTATTTTTTCAAAATTGTGTTTCTCCAATCGAGCCTGATTAGGTTTCAATTATGACAATCATGTTGCTCTAGAAGATGACTACGTCGCACATGACCTCGGATGAACTCCTTCAATGATTATTCACTTTTCCTAAATTTCTTATTTTCTAGAGGGAAGAATTTCGATCATATTTTTAATGTTGATAATAACTAAGGGAGTTTACTCAATGTCATAACTAATATGATCATTTTCTAGAGCAACATAATTGCCATAATTGAAACCGAATGAGGATTGCCTGGGAGTGGCTCGACTGGAGAAATACGGTATTGAAAAAATAAATCTTTCTCTCAAGTAAATGGATATTTGCCAAAAATATATTTTTTTGTCATGTCAGTGCAGCGTGACTCACCGTGAACTGTTTTTGAACATCGACCTCACTCGGAAAAATTCGGTTCTGATAAGTGTGATCGGCACGACGCGCTAACATCGAATGGCTAAATAATCTCTCCATAAATCCATCATTATTTTCCCTCAAAATACCATCTGCCCCCCTTCAATTCAATCTAAATAAACTAGTGATTGTGTTCAAAATAATCAAAATAATTTCCGAAGCATGTCAATACGTATATAGTCTTCAAATTCATCTAACACAGACGTTTGAGGTTATGTTACTCCCAAGGATGTGCGAGGTGGTGAGTACCGTGGGTCGTTTAAATCTCCTCCGACTACCAATTCGAAAGAACGCGACAAAAGCAAAACTTGTGAAAAATCGAATGAAAGAGGATAAAGCAAACTTCGGACCACTTCTGGAAACTGCAAAAGAGAGGAAAAGGAAATTAAAGTCAGCGAGGAAAAGTAAAAATACAGAAGTACCTGACGTACCTGAAGCTGGAAATTCTAAAAATGATGTAAACGATGCAGAATTATCCTGGACAATTAGCACAACTAAACTAGGAAATTTAAAATTTTTACGCAAGACTGATAAAGACGATAAGCAAAAAAGTTCTTCTCGACAATCAGAAGTCCAACAATTATCAAAGTTCACACAACTCGTAGAGTCCAACAACCCCAACAAGACTACCAAAACTATCATGACTAAGATATTAAACAGTGACAATCCCAGGGATCAATCAGGTCAAGATGAGATTCTTCCCTTTTCAAGCCCAAAAATTCAGAGAAAAGTTGAAGATCTTGCCGAGGGAGATATCGAGACGAATGATGATAAATCTTGTTATGGAAGTATTGGAGAAGAAACTTTGTTGAAATCTGGGAGAAGTGATACATTGTATTTTCCAATAACAAATAGCTGTAAGGGGCTGAATGATGAATGGGAGAATCGAGGGATTGTTTCATTGAAGCCAGGCGAGCAGAAGGAATATTGCTTACCAGGAGTTACAAGGATTTTGAATAAGACAATGTCAGAGGAGGCCAAGTTAATATTGGAGAAGTGGAAGCAGAAAATGATTCTGAAGTTGGGAGATGAGGGATTTGACGAATACAGTAAAAGTAATTATTTATTCATTGATTCATAGAGAAGGGAAAATTGTAATTTTTAGTAAAAATTTTTGAATTTCAGAACTATATTATACTGTGGTCTAGCAAAAAAAATGAAAATAAGAATAAAGATTGTGCTTATTTGAAGAAAATTCTCCCTAAAAATGAAAGGAAAATATGTAATTCTCAGTCATTTTACTTGAATCTAGTATAATTGTACGTGAATTAAAGATGCTTATTCATTTTCCAACATTTTGTGCCTTCACGTTTGAGGAAACGTTATTTTTCTAGACATGAAATTGATTTCTGATAAAACTCTGAATATGAACAAATTTTTTGCGATTCCGAACAAATTATTTTTATGGCGGAAAATTGAATGTTTATAAAATATTAATAGAAAATGCTCGTAATTTTCAAAAATTAGAATTCTTAAATTATTTTATCACTCTTCCTCCAAAACTGAACTTTCTAATATTTATTTTGAATTTTTAAAATGTTTTCTAACGATTCAACATCGAGAATCAAATTCAGACTTGGAAAGCTTAAATAATAAAATCATTGTAAAATGGCTGGAAACTTAGGGTTAAATGGAGTTCAAATGAAAGCTCTGTTGTTCGATCACAAAAGTAGAAAAGCATTTCACTGGAGAACAAATAACCAATGCACTTTGATATCCTTAAGTAAATATTGTTTCTAAAATTCAAAACTTTTGTGTTTTAAGAAAAACCTTGAGGTTCTTAAATCCAGAACAGCTGTCTACTCCTACTGGGAACATTTTTGTCCTGAAATTGATGATTTTTTCTGTTCCAAGTCTATATTATTATTCTATATTATATATAATATATATCCTCTCATATTCATCTGCGCTCTGTTATTCATACATACATTCATTTGGGAACTCATGACACAATAGATGTTTAATTATTCCAGAATTTTATCTCTTTGGAATGATCTTACCTTAAAAACATGAATGTTATTAATTTAAGGATATCCAAGTATTTTTCACAGTTTAGTAGAAACCATTCTATAGATTCACCCATTTTCCTTCATCAAATTTGTCAATTGAAATGCATGAGAAAAATTTGAAAGAAAAAATGAACATTCAGCGTCATTCAAATTACATTTTGCACAGAATTATTATTTTTTAAACATTCGTTCTTTATAAATAAGTAATTGAAATTGTATAAACTTTCGGAAACCTCATTTTTTCAGGCATAAAATCGGCATCTGGACAAATTCTGAATATGGATAAATTTGTTACAATTCCAAAATTGATTGTTTATAAATTATTTATCGAAAATGCTTATAATTTTCAACAATTGGAATTTTTAAATTATTTTATCGCCCTCCCTCCAAAAGTAAACTTGCTAATTTTTTTTAATTTTTAAAATGTTTTTTAATGGTTCAATATCAAGATTCAGATTCAGACGTGGAAATTTTAAATAATCAAATTATTGAAAAATGTCCGGAAATTTGGGGTCAAATGGGGTTCAAATGAAAGCTCTGTTGTTCGACCACAAAAGTAGAAAAGCATAAAGCAAAAGTAGAAAGTATTTTTCACTGGAAAAAAAATAACCAAAGTACTTGGGTATCCTTAAGCGCCGCGCCTTTCTCACTTAAAATAACTTTTTTTTAGTTTACAGTTTCTAGTAGTGAATTTTTGAGATTTGTCTTCTGAAGCTAAGTAACTAGATTCTCATTTTCAGTACACTATTTTTTAGAATCACGAATTTCCTAAACTCAGTCAATTGCTTCTGGCAACTTTCTTTCTCTATATTTAATACTTGCTGATTAATTTAAAAATAATTTGGAGGGATGAAAAAGATAACACTAATTTTTTCTGTTCTTTTCAGAGTTATTGGAGGATAGTAAAGCGTTGCACTTATTAATACAAAAGAGTCTGAGGAGAGAAGAAATTCCTGAGGTCCCGGAGCATTTGAAGCTAAGTTTCAATAGTATAAAATTAACTTTGAAGGATCTGTCCGATGTGAGGATGCTGGAGTCTCATGTGATTCATCCTGCGCTGGGCTACCGAGGGTTTATCGATTGTGTTGCCAGTTATCGGTGAGTCCAGTCACTTCTTTATCGATTGAGCTTATATTCTCTCTTCAGGCGGTAGATGGAAATGTGTGTTCTGAAAAGTTCATACAAGAACTTTCGTAATTCAATATTTATAAAATATTGAATGCTGTGTCATGAAGATTCAATGGAATGAAATGAAAAGGAATATTTAATCAAAACTTTAAGTAATGGAATTATAGCCGGTAGGTACCCATTTATTTTGTGTGAATTCGTTGATTTTTCATTGATTAAATACGTATTATTACTATTGTATCCAGGGGATGAGGTAAATTTACACTAATCCAAAAACTATTCCAATTTTTATATTCACTAATCGAATCGTCTAGATTGCAGCAGCTATTGTAATTGAAAAAATTAATTTATTTGTTGTTTCGAAGGCAACTACACCTTTTTCATGGTATAAAAATAGTAAAAATATTAACTTGAATTGAAACAAGCAGTGGATACAAGACATGTAACCATTGCTCTAAGCGTTGTTTTTTTTTTCTTCCAATTTCTACCAATTCTATTAGCAGTAAGCTTTTGAATGGATCCGAAAACTATTCGAGTTTTCATCGAATCATCTAGATCGCTAATCGCATCATTTAGATTACAGTAGCTATTATCCTATTATAATTGAAAAAAAATTTTTTTTTGTTGTTTCGCAGGCAACACGTTTTTTATAATATAAAAATAGTCAAAATGTTAACATGAATTGAAACAAGCAGTGTGACAGTTGATTTTCTTTCCTCCTTCAATTTTTACCAACTGTATTAGTACTAAGCTTCCGATTGAATCTCAAGTTACTTACAAAAAAATATGACTAAAAAGTACACAAAAACATCACCCCATGTTGTCCCATTTTCAGTACTTCATATTTTAGTATGTCCATGTGCATACGCTTGTGTTTCGCTTTCTTCATGAAATTTTAAAAATAAATGCGACAGTACATGTGCCGAGTTCAGGGGAATGGCCTCGGACATATTCCATGAAATAGTAATATACAAAAAGCATAATCATGTTATAGGAGCTTTTTTGTGATACCTGCCTGAAAAGTGCACTTTTCGAAACGGTTTAGTGTGTGTAAAGCGGTTGTTTTCTGCACGTCATGCGTAAAGTTCACGAGTGTGCGTAAAGTGAATTCGTAATTAGAGTAAATAATTACTCCAACGAATTTGTTGAGGAAACTGAATTAATTCGTCATTTATTACCAAAAGAAATTGAAATTAACAAGAAAATTCAGTCGGACTCAATTAGGTAAACTTGAAGGGGGTTGACGGGTAAAATTTTCACCTTTGTGGGGTTTATATCAGCTGCGTCCCCGTCGCGAACCCTGGGCAATGCTAAGTGCTGATGAACCTTGATCCTATTTACTAAGGATGAAAGAAACGTGAAGTTGTTTTATATCGAAATATCTCGAAACTACCTGACCGCCAATCCTTAATTCTGATTGGTCAATATGTGACACGAAGTTATTCACAACAGGCGGCATTTTCAAATTCTTCAGTGACATAATTTCAAATTCTTCAGTGGTAAATTTTTCTTTCACGTCATATATATATATATATATATATATATATATATATATATATATATATATATATGGAAGTAAAAATTGTAAACCATCAAATTATTTCAGCAGATAGAGCACTTTTGTCTATATTGAATGTTAATTGTTATCACCAATAATTGAATCGCAACGAAACACAGTTTCAAAAATGTTAAATATCGAAGACTTTTCCTAGATTTAATTCTTCATTTTCTCGTTAAAATCAGAGATCGCCCAATGCTATTTCCCAAGGGAGAAAAAAGAAATAAAATACAGTAATTGAACCTCATCTCCTTAGAAATTCAATGAGAATTGATGTCCTAACGACGTAGCTCATAAAACCCAATTGTCTGGAATCTTTTCTCCTATTGTTTCAGTCGTTTTACGATCATTATCGATTCATCGCTACTTGTGTCACTTCCAATACACTTTTAATGCAATCTCCCTGATTCTTTCATGAGCTAAAGTAGTAACGTAAGACATTTTATTCAGGGGGAATCTTTGTATAATCGATTGGAAAAAATCGGAGAAGATCAAGACCCTCAGTACGACTTACGACTCACCCCTACAAGTCAGTGCGTACATTGGAGCCCTCAATGCCGATCCAAATTATCCGTTCCAGGTGACTGATTGCATAAATTGTGATGAATAAAACATTTCATTCCATCTCATGTTTTTTTTTATCTCCTTCATGAACGATAAATCTATCAAGTTTGATGTAAATTGATGAAATTGTATGTAAATTCATTGTTTTCCTTTTAGGTAAAATCTGGCCTCGTGGCAATAGCGTATACATCTGGCCAGCCACCCTCTGTTTTCGAATTCAGTGCGGCAAGACTAGAATTTTACTGGAGAGAATGGCTAAAGAGACTTGCAAAATATAAATCTCTGACTAATATTTGAAACTGTAAAATTTCCGAGAATAAAACATTTTTGTATTGTTGAATACTTTTCTAATTATTCATAAGTTTCTCCATTCGTGGAGGGATGGGGAAGATTAGCGAGAAGATTCCGAACGTTCTTTCTCAATAGTTTGTGGGGGAGTTGCTAAGTTTTTTGGTAAATTCACCCCATGCAGTTCTCACTTTCTTATGAGAATTTATGACTGTAGAAGCGTTGAACTTTTATTACTCTCAACTTCAGATAAATTGCCTGGGAAAAGCTGATCATATTTGTTTAGGACTTCAACTCCAATCTAAGTTCCTTGGTTTCTGTGTTGATTTGATTAAATTTTAACTTAGCTAATTGTTTGTTAGTGAATTATCTGATGTAAAACATAAGTCAGTGATGGAGGGATAAGTAAGACCTGGGATTTTTGTTAATTGGGAATTTGTCACTTGTAATATCCGGAGCCCTTCAAAATTATCGGATATTCGCCAAAAGCTTCGTTGTAAACAAATGAAGGTGTCAATTCTTGCAGAATAAAAAATTTCTGCAAACTTTCCATTCGTTTATTTGCAGGGAAGCTCGATGAATTTTGAAGGTCGAGGGATATTCGGAGGAGAATTTCGTTCCTCCTGGGTTCGACCAATTAGCGTGCGGTGGTCGAGGCGAGGTAACACCTTACACGAACATTTCATAGAAGTAAAAAAATGGTCAATCTTGTTATCAATTTCTCGTAAAGAATTCTGGTTAAATCGACTAATTTTGCATAAAATCAACACAACCTCACACGGAGAGAAATGTTCAGTGAAAATTACGGAACTCACAATTCACTCACCGATTACGGAATCGACTCAGAAAATTTAACTGCCGGTATCGCAATTTTTTACAGGAGATTTAGTTAAAAATTACGGAACGCTCCGGAAAAATTCCGTGACAGTTCCTTAAAATTTCCTACAACTACATTTCGCTCCGGGCTTACGGAAAAGATACGTAATTTTTATTAAATATTTCTTTCCGTGCACATAAGCTTTTTTCACAAATTGAAATGTCAAAATAAGAAAGAACAATTGACAGGCAACTGTGGAATTATGATTTTGATAATTCACTAACAGCCTGGTGAATTATCAGTAGTAATATCCCAAGAGCTTCAAAATTGTCGGGTATTTTCCGATAGCTTCGTTGCAAACAAATGAGGGTGTCAAGTTTTGCAGGATTTTTCTGCAAAACTTGGCACGATCGTTTGTTTGTAGGGGAGCTTCAGTGTAATATCCGATTAATATTGAAGCTTGAGGGGTATTTGTTGGATTATTTTTTCCAATCGGATTTTGGTCAATCAGAGGGCAGTGGACAACATCAGGAGGTGAGTTAAGGAAGAATTGAACAAATTATGTTAATAGAATAACCTGATTTTCGTATACTAGCAAATACAAGATTCTATCTGAAATGAGCCGAAAAAGTGAAGAGCTGCTGCGAAATGTTCAAGGTTATTAAGGTAATTAATATATTTATGTTCATTGCAACGTAACGGAAACGGAGGACGTACGGCGATTGTAGACTCTACCTTAGAACATGCTTCTATCACTAAACAAGAGAGTGTTTCTGCGTATTATTTTTTGATTTTTTTGAAATTTCAATCATTTGAAGCCGAATATTCATAAATTAATGGGACACTTGAGTTGATTTTTTCTACTTTCTACACTGATAGAAAGGATTAGTTATTGTTAAAAAATGGATTTGGTTGTTGGAGGCTAGGGTCTATTCGGTCTTATCAAATGTTCATTTGTTAATAGTTAACAAATGCATATTTGAGGAGCCGTGTTTGACTCGACTTTCACCTTTCAAGTGAACCAATCGTTAACTATTAACGAATATTTATTTGGTCATATTCAATTCTACAATTCGTTAATAGTTAACGAATCTCGTTTGGAATAAATGAATCATTCTACCAGTGTATCATTTTGAGAGTTCATTTTCAGGCATAAGTATTTCTAGACCTCAATAATGTCACTTTTTCTTTACCATAGCGTAGGAGAAGGTGAGACAACGTGAAACAGTGGAGTAAAGTGAAACAATGGCGTTTTTTGCATAATTTTTTAAATTTTTTCTACAGCCCTGCGTGTGTTTGTGGCTAAGCTTTGATGTTGGTTAGGACCAACCACAAGGTCAAAACCTCCAAATAATTCACCATTATACCCATTGAACCCCGACGTTTTACTCTGTCCTCCCTTCCGCAGTTATGAGAAAGATATATATTATTTATATTATATGTTTTGCACATTAGAGCGGTATTGTCCCGGATTTATGTCCTCTTTGACGGGAAGCATGTAGCATTTGTCGTCACGTTTCTCATCAATCATCATCGAAATGATTGTGTCCTGACTGGATTATTATTATTTTTATGAATTACAGCAATATAGAAACTGTAAAACGCTGAGGTATACTCGAAATTATAATGTCTATTTATTTTTATTTTCAACGTCATTTGTTGCGAGTAAACTTGCAACTGTCTGTTGCCCGAAGGCTTCCAACCGTGGTATTACATTCCATGAACGATGCAGCATACTGTAGATAACGTGAGCAGAAAAAGGAAATATTAGATAATTAAATTGGAATTTGAAGACCGAAACTGCAGATTCCCAGCGAAAATGCAAACTTTTTAAATCGCTCAGATCATCTTTTTTATTTATTTAAGCTCAGATTCTCTGATTATTTTAATTTTCAGAAAATATTAAGTACTGAGACAGGGAGACTTTCACAATTTCTCTGTTCTATTCAGTTATGGGGCTGACTCTCTTAAGGATAATCGGGCGAGGAGGAAATGTAGGAGGTGAGGCGGAGGGGTTTTCCTGCAGAAAGCCAATCATTGAACAACAAAATTTTTCCCATTCGGATTAAAAATTCAGGAAATATTAGGGTGTATCTCCGGTTAAAAATTATTTTTGGAGCTAATCAAATTTATTTGTATCTGTTCCACGCATTGAATGGTTTTCAGATTGTTTTTTTTAATAAATGAAAAAATATTAACCCACCAGGAGCTGGTACCACTGGCTCCAATCCCAACGCTTCATCGCTCTCCCTCAAGAGACGTTTAAATTGACCGCGCTGCCCCCACCCGATCGGTACTTGGAACGTTGCTGCTCGTTTGGGCTGCGTGCGCAGAAATTTCATTTTTTAGTACTTTTTTCGCTATTATTAATAAATAATGCTCCTAGGCGACAATCTTTTTCACTCAATAAATCATTGATCACATGTTCTAAATGTGTCTAAAGTTTCATGACTTTGGCTGCATTTTTTCCTTGGTTTTTGCAGTTTTTTGGTGATTTCCATAAGATCGCGGGATAGATGACCACTTTTTCAAAAATTCATAATAAATTAACCATGCTCCCCAGCAGTCTGAAACTTTGCACACGCCTTTTCCATCACTTAAAGAATATATAAAAAAAAAAGAAAAAAAGGCTGCTTTTTTTACAACCCTCCCAGCTCACCCGATTATCCTTAAGAAAACTTACGACCAAAAAGTCCCTAAATGTTTATTACCTTCAACTCCAAATGAATGACCCCCAACAACCTAATCATATTAGTCCACTCCAAACTATTTCAATGTCCCCTCACATATCCGTTATCAAACTTCCTCGTTTCTTATTTTTTCAATTAAATTTTGATGAAACTAAACTTTTTCCACTCTATAATCTCCACTAAATCACCTTATTATTAGTTTTGAGTTTCAGATATATTAAATTTCTCCGTGGTACCGAGAATCATCTTCAGCACCCAGTTAAATGAAACTGACGTCTCAAGAGAGAAAACTTATAACCCAACGCACTCAAAGTTTCCCGTGGGAGTTTATGAACATGATACACGAGGTACTCCCATGCTTAAGCCCAAATGAACGACACGTGATAGGCTAAAAGGGTGCACACACTCTCCCCAACGATAAATCCCAAACACTCAAATAATATAAACAAAAATTCACATTCACTCGTGTTTTTCAACACGGAAAAACGGAAATACATTGAAGGGTCCTAATTCTTCACCGCAGGAGACTGACTAACATCCAGCAATTATAACTTTCGATACCACACCCGTAAGAGCGATGGAATATACAGCGGGCGGTTGTTGCGACCCCTCTCTATAACGTTACTCCGTGCTTCCATAAACATTCCAACCCTTCGTATGCCCTTGGGAACTGTAAACTAATGGCGGACGAGTACAGTGGAGTCCCGTCTTTGGTGGTTTCCTGGCTCACTACTTATGAAATCCCCCACTTCCTGGGTTCGCTACATCTAAATCTTCACTTCTATTTTCTCGGGGTGTTAATCAAGTTTTGAAAGGGAGAGATCGTAAAAAGGAGCGGAACGTGACCATAAACATGGAACTTGATTTTTTTAGAGTTCATGAGACAAAGAGGCCCGATGCGAGTCGATATTGGTACATATAGTCGACTTATGCCATTCTGTTTTTTGGTTATTAGCATTTTATATTACCTAAAAATCAGTATCGAAGTGCTAAAACCATTTAAGCCAATTTTGATTATTGGCCAGTTCTCAATGAATATCTCGGAAACTAAGGGAGATGGTAAAATTTTAATTATAAACTTCGATTCGTGGTACTTTCACGCGTAATTTGAGACCAATTCGAACTCAAAACTCGACTCATGTTAATGATTATCAACAATTTTGTTGACGCCGAGCGGAGCCGGTAATATCGTTCATAGGATCGGCCACGTAGTTGCTCGACAGCACTCGAGTACACGTTAGGTTGCGGCGCGAGCGATACACGCAAAACCCTATGAGCGGCATTGGAATCGTACCGAGCGGTATTACCAGACGGCGGGTAGTACCGCTCAATAGGTTCTCTCTTTTATTTTCAATCAATTTTGTGGATTCTAAGGAGAATTAGGCGTTTACACTTCGAGAATAACGAGTTCAATAGTTAAAAAAGTCTCACAAATACGTTTTTTATACTCAAGTTGAAATATAAAATATAAAACTGGCATTTCCCCTTAGGTGGACGGTACAGGCACACCCTCCCCTAGTCTCACCCGGATGTACCTGGAGGATT